GGATTTGAACCCACTAGCTCAGGTGTATGTGGCTGGCACCTTAGCCCCTTGAGCCACAGGCCCCGAACCTAGTTTTTCTTTTTACAAGTAAAATTTTAAATAGTTAATGGAGTAATAATTTTCTCACCCTGGGGATCTGAGATTCCCAGAGAACAGCACAGTATAGTGGTCCAGGCTCCATAGCTGGACTTTCTGTATTAAAGCCCACTCTTCACTTGCTTCACTCTGTGACTTCTCTGTGTTTCCTTAAGATCATTTTTAAAGCAGAGATAATTGTTCCTACTATGTATGGAAGTAAGGTTTAGTGAGTGAATTATGTTAAGTGTTTACCTAACACATTATGAGCATTATTATTTATCACCCTTTCCTTTTTACTTATACCACTGTCCTTTTGTTTTGAATTCTTCCTCTTCTCAAGGCAATTTAAAAAAAAAATTTTTTTTTTCAGATAGTCTCACTATGTCGCCCTTGGTAGAGTGCCATAGTGTCACAGCTCACAGCAACCTCAAACTCGTGGGCATAAGTGATTCTCTCACCTCAGCCTCCCAAGTAGCTGGGACTACAGGCACCCACCACAACGCTTGGCTATTTTTTCGTTGCAGTTGTCATTGTTGTTTAGCTGGCCCGGGATGGGTTCGAACCTGTGAACCCACCAGCCTCGGTGTATGTGGCTGGCACCAAAACCAATGTGCTACAGGCACCAAGCCACTTTTTAAAACTTTTTATTAAAATTTCATAACAACAGAAATATTCTTCTAACCTTAGTATAATAGCATAAATTTATACAAATTGAATCACCCAGGGAATTAATACCCACATCAACAAACAGAATATTGCCATAATCTCCTCTTTTTGTCTCCCTTTCCTATTCCACCCCTGCCCAAAGGTAACCACTTAACTACTATCCTGACTTGTAACAGTGCAGAGTAGATTGTTTGAGACAGTCTCACTCTGTTGCCCTGGGCTAGAGTGCTATGGAGTTATAGCTCACAGCAACCTCAAGCTATCCTCTTGCTTTAGCCTCCCTAGTAGTGAGTAGTTGGGACTACAGGCATCCGCCACAACACCCGGCCAATTTTTTATTTTCAGTAGAGAAAACAGAAAAATTTCTGTCATTTTGCTCAAGCTGGTCTCAAACTCCTGAGCTCAAGCAGTCCTCCTGCCTTAGCCTTCCAGAGTGCTAAGATTGCAGATGTGAGCCACTGCACCGTCTGAATAGAGATTTGTTTTGTTAAGGCTGTATTTGTATGATTTTTTAAAAACCTGGCTTTACAACTTTAGTTTTCTTTTAGGTATGTTGGATCCTCTAGCATTAGTGTTTCTTGGTTTCTCTTTGGCTACACTTGAATATTTTCCAGAAGATCTGCTAAAGGCAATTTTTAACATCAAATTCTTAGCTAGATTGGATTCTCAACTTGAAAGTATGTATCTACTTTTTAATGTACTAAAATCTCTCTTGTATTTATATCCAATGTTACCTATATTGAAGCATTTAAGTGTTAATGACTTTTTCTTGTTTATAGAAGTATTCATGTTTATGTAGGAAATTTAGAAAACACATGAAAGTATAAAATAGAAAATAAAGAATTATCCCATCATCTTACCACTAAGTAAAACTACCACTTTTTAAGGTTTAGAGTATTTCTTTATGGTCTTTCTCTAGGTCTTCTGTGTATGTTTACCTCTCTCTCTACATATATATACACACATTTTTATATATATATATATATATATATATATATATTTTTGCAGTTTTAGCTGGGTCCTGGCTTGAACCTGCCACCCACAGTATATGAGGCTGGCGCCTTACTCCTTGAGCCACAGGCGCCACCCCTGCATATCTATATTTTAAAAATTAAAGTCTGAATTATTTGGGGCCAGGCGTGGTGGTTCACGCCTATAATCCTAGCCCTTTGGGAGGCCGAGACAGGTGGATTGCTTGAGCTCAGGAGGTCAAGACCAGCTTGAGCAAAGGAGAGACCCTATCTCTACTGAAAATAGAAAAATGGAGGTAAGAGGATCACTTGAGCTCAAGTTGGAGGTTGCTTTGAGCTATGATGCCATGCACTCTACCCGGGGCAACAGCTTGAGATCACTCTGTCTCAAAAAAAAAAAAAAGTTTTTTTGAATTATTTATAGATTCTTTTTTTGAACCAGAGTCTCACCCCTAGGTAGAGTGCTGTGGTGTCACAGCTCACAGCAACCTCAAACTCTTGGGCTTAAGCGATTCTCTTGCCTCAGCCTCCCAAGTAGCTGGAACTACAGGCGCCTGCCACAATGCCTGGCTATTTTTTGGTTGTAGTTATCATTGTTGTTTGGTGGGCCTGGGCTGGATTTGAGCCCTCCAGCTCCAGTGTATGTGGCTGGCACCTTAGCCGCTTGAGCTACAGGCTCCGAGCTGTCATTAGATATTTTTGACATCATGATTTTTTATTGGTTCCATAATGTACTATTATATGAATATAATAAAGTTTATTTGTTACTGGTTTCCAATTCCTCATTATTATAAACAATGAATTATTATACATGAATCATTGTTTCCTTAGAATAAATTCCTAAGTGTGGAATGTTGGGTCAACAAATTTTTTTTTTTTTAATTTTTTGCCGTTTTTGGCTGAGGTTGGGTTTGAACCCACCACTTATGGCATATGGGGCTGGCCCCCTACTCCTTTGAGCCACAGGCACCGCCCAACAAAAATTTTTTATAGTATTTTTAAATGTAGTTTTAACATTCATTAGTGAAAACAACATAAGAGTTGGTCCTGATCATGCCATTGAATGTAATAATTTAAAAATATAAAGTATTTGTGTGCAAGTGAAATGATTTTGTACTAGGAGAATGAAAACATCTACCAATAAATAAGTATAAAATGAGTGGTATTTGCTAGGTCTCAGCTATCAAATACATTATTTTATTAATTTCAGTTTTATCTTCATCTCTGCGTAAGAAGGTCCAGTTTCGTCTTATGGAGTTAAATAGAGCAGTCTGCTTGGAATGCCCTGAGTTTCAGATTCCATGGTTTCATGACCGCTTCTGTCAGCGATATAATAAAGGTTTGAATTTTCTTTTGGTCAGAAAGCAGAGTTTAATTCTAAAGTAAATATTAAGTAGTACATTCTTGTTAAAACTAAACATGACACCAATGTTTCCAAAAGTGCTATGACCTTTTTTATTTTTTTAGGTGATATTTGTGATATAAAAATTTTTAATATTTGAGACATTAAACCTCTTTCAGTTGAGATCAAGCAGCTTGTCCTATATTGGATTTAGTGTCATTACATATAGTATTACATTGAAGCTCTTACTGAAAGTATTGATCTTTATTTTTCAGTTTGTAAAATTAGGATGATTTTTTCATTCAAAAACTGATTAACCTAAGTGTGCTGATTATTTTTATTTTTATAAAGATATTGGCAGCATGGATGGAGCACAACAGCAGATTTATAAAATGATAGCAGAGGTACTAGGAGGAGTCAATTATGTAAAAGCTTCAGTTCTTACTCCGTATTACCACACAGTAGGTAAGTTATAACTAGGTTATTAGCTACTTTCAGAAGACCAAACTAATTTGAATAATTTCGCCAGTTGGAATTTTAAAAAGTTTTTGGAATATTTTCAAATTGTTATCATGAAGATATCCATACAGACAAAAGTAGAAAGAACAATGCAATGACTCCTCAAGTTCCCAAGTTCCCGTAGTTCAGCTTTGATAACAAGGAGCATTTTGCTGTTCTTCAGAAATTTAAAAACAAAAAAGGTCTTTTATCATTCGATGTAAAACCAAGATTTAAATTCACTGAATATTTCTGGATCTTCAAAAGATTCTGTCCTCTCTACTCAGTACACTAAAACTAAGGGAAATGACCTTTTATCTCTGTTTCATTGTTTTAACTTCATCTCAGAAACTAAGTTGGGTTATCAACTTGGACAAACATTTCCAGGGGTATTGTGTTTGATGCCTACCTAGCTTATGTTGACGGCAATATAAAATTTTAAAAGATATTGCTAAATCCAAGTGCTGGGCTTAAACAAAAGAGATAAAATTTTAAGAGAATTAACATGAACTTTCTAAATTTAGGTTTAAAAAACATTTGTATACATACTTTCAGGATGTTTTAAAAGATTATAAGCTTGATATAAACTAATGATGTAAGTGGTTACCAAAAGTCACATACTATTTTAAACTATACACACACACACACATTGTTTTGTTTGAGACTGAGTCTCACTTTGTCACCCAGGGTAGAGTTGCTATGGCATCGTAGCTCACAGCATCCTAGCAACCTCAAACTCTTGGCAAAAGCCATCCTCCTGCCTCAGCCTCCAGAGTAGCTAAAGCTATAAGAACCTGCCACAATGCCTAGCTAGTTTTTCTATTTTTAGTAGAGATGGGGGTCTAGCTTTTGTTCAGGCTGCTCTTGAACTACTGAGCTCTAGCAATCCACCCGCCTCAGCCTCCCAGAGTGCTAGGATTACAGGCAGGAGTCACCATCATGCCTTGCCCTTAAACTATATTGTTAATAGTAACAAGAAAACTGTGTTCTATTCTTCAGACACATCTTAATATTGGTTTTTTTTTTTTTTTTTTTACACATTGCCCTTTATGAAAGACAGTGACAGATAGGGTCTAGAAACAAAGGAGGACAGATAGTGAAGAATTCTGTCTCATCATGTCTTAGACCTAGAGAGAACTAGGACTTCATAGATTTCAATTTTGAGCAAGGTCTCCTAGACCTTATTAATTCATTTATCTGATAAATGGGGATCATAATGCCTGTTAATAGAATTAACTGAGATACTGCATATAACACATTCAATGCTAAAGTGCTAAATAAATTTTATTTGGGGGGGAAAAAAGCATAAGATGTCTTCTTTGAAAAATTGAAGTCTTATGGGGTACATAATTGTTGTAAAATATTTGAAGGATTGTTAAGTGGAAGAAGAAATAGACATTTCTTTTTTTTTTTTTTTTGAGACAGAGCCTCAAGCTGTCCCCCTGGGTAGAGTGCCATGGCATAGCTCACAGCAACCTCCAACTCCTGGGCTCAAGCGTGTCTCCTGCCTCTGCCTCCCAAGTCGCTGGGACCACAGGCGCCCACCACACCTGGCAATTTTTTTTCGGTTGCAACCATCATTGTTTGGCGGGCCTGGGCTGGATTCGAACCTGCCACCTTAGGGGTATGTGGCTGGTGCCTTAGCCACTTGAGCCATAGGCGCCGAGCCGAGATAGGCATTTCTTTTCTTTTTTTTGGTTAGTGACAGAGTCCCACTTTATTGCCCTTGGTAGAGTGCTGTGGCTTCACAGCTCACAGCAACCTCCAGCTCTTGGGCTTAAGTGATTCTCTTGCCTCAGCCTCCTGAACAGCTGGGACTATAGGCACCTGCCACAATGCCTGGCTATTTTTTTGTTGCAGTTTGGCCCAGGCTGGGTTTGAACCTGCCACCCTCGGTATATGGGGCCAGCGCCCTACTCACTGAGACACAGGTACCACACTAGACACTGTCTTAAGTGATATATATATATATATATATATATGTATATGTATATATATAACATATATATATTTTGTATTCCTAAATTAATTATTCTATTTTAAAGATGAGGATTCTGAGGCCCAGAAACATTATTATTATCATCTTTTTTTTTTTTTTTTTAAAGAGGCGGGGTCTCACTCTATCATCCAGGCAGAGTGCATTGGTGCAGTCAGTTCACTGTAACCTGGAACTTGTAGGCTTAACCCTGCCTCCATCTCCCAAGTAACTGGACTAAAGGTGCATACCACCACACTTGGCTAATGTTTTTTAGAGGTAGGGTCTTGTTATTTTGTCCAGATTAGTCTTGAATTCCTGGCCTCAAGCAATCCTCCTGCCTTGGCCTTCCAAAATGCTTGCATAACAGGCATGAGCCACCAAGCTTGGCCAAAAACATTGATTGCTGAAGGGTATACTTTGTGTATACCTGGCAAATGACAGAGCCAGGATTTGACCTAAGTGTTCTTGCTCCAGAATTTATTCTCTTAATGAGAGAACTAAATATTTCATGTTTCATAATTAACTTGAAGATGGTTCAGTGCTCCAGTTCTTCTTATGTGGAGAAAATAGATAATTAACCTACTCTTTCCTCCTTTTCATTTTTTCATTCATTGTTTCTTTTTTCTTGGTTTAAATACTTTTCTGATGGTTTTCATTATGGAAAAATTTCAGACATACAAAAGTAGAATAATATTATAAACCTTCTTCCAGAGTCAACAGTTAGCAATACCTGCTCACTACAGTTTTACCTTATGCTCTTCAAGCAAATCACAGACAATATAACATTTCAGATGTATATGTAAAAGACAAGGGTGACTTTAAAAGTGTAACAATAATACCATCATTATCACACCTACAGCCATTAACAGTAATTTCTTAATACCATATAGCTTTTATGTTTTAGTTGTCTTTTTTGTTTTATAGTTTGCTTATTCAAATTGGGATCCGAACCGGTTTGGTTGATTTTTCTTTTTAAGTTCTACCTTTCTCCTTTTTTTCTCTTACAGTTTAATTAAGAATATATATAGTTTTCACAGTCTGGATTTTTCTGATTACAAACTGTGTTGTCATTTAACGTAGTTCTGTTTCCCTTGTCTTTCCTGTCAACCAGTAGTTATAATTAAAGGCTTATTTAGATTTTAGGTTATTTTTTTGGAGGGTGTTTGTAATACTATTTAACAGGTGATGTGTATTATTGCAGCATATCAGGAGGCACATGATGATGACTGTCTGTTTACTGTGTTGCTGTTAAGACTCTGTGGGTTTGTGTGATGTCACCTGATGCATTCATTCATCCCTCCTCCATCAGCTTTTCACCTACTGATTTTAGCAACAATTAATGATCATCCATGGCTTAAATCTATCATTGATTAAGAGTGGCAAAGTATCAATAGCCAGGCATTGTGGCAGGCGCCTATAGTCCCAGCTACCTGGGAGGCTGAGGCAAGAGACTTGCTTAAGCCCAGGAGTTGGAGGTTGCTGTGAGCTATGATGCTACAGAACTCTACAGGGTGACAGCTTGAGGCTCTGTCTCAAAAAAAAAAAAAAAAAAAAAAGAGTGGCAAAGTATCAGTATTCTAAATCTATCATTCTTGCTATATTTTTTAGCTGAAATTTGTCTAAAAACACCTCTCCCATATCAGTTACTCAGTTATTCTTATGTACAGTTCATCTAGGAAAGACAGGATAAATACTTGAATCTTTGTCCTTACTGGTTTTCAAGGGGGTTAGTTTGTTTTCCTCCAGATTGTGACCAGGGGACTTAAGAAGATTAAAATAAAGCCTTTCAATGTGATTTGCCCTAGCACAGTGCTGAATGTGGTCCTGTGCTTAATATAGTTTAGCAACTCTTGCTGGTTGATTTGTATTCATTGAAGAGAAGTGCCACTGGACCAGATCTTATAAAATAAGTTGGATCTTTGTGTGTGTGGGTATTTACATATGTGTGTATATTTATTTATAACACATCTTAAACTTTTATCTGCAAAAACTTACCTAATTTATACTGCTAATTTTTATACTTACTTAAGATTTTGAATGTATCTTGGATAAAAGAAAAAAACCTCTTTCTTATGGAAAGCATAATATAACTTTGGGAAAACTACCAGAAATACACTGGGAATCAAATACTCAAATAGTTGGATCAAGACTGCCACCAGGAGCTGAAAGGTATTTGTGTCTTTAGATTTTATCTACATGTTCAATTTGGCATAATAAAATGAACTTCATTATCAAGGAGTGAATGTAGTAGGATCTGTTCCTCATCTCATGCACTCATGCACTTCATCTTTGCTTTTCCCCCTTTATGGCTTAATGTCCTTCCTTCTCTTGTCCAAAGCCTAGCAGTCTCCCTAACTAAAGGGCTATGCTAACCTGATTGTCCTCAACTGGAAGTAAAATACTGCCTTCTTTTATGCTCCCATATTTCTCTTCTCATAGCACTTGGGAACGTCCTACACTGCACTGCAGTGCCTTCCTATATGGTTATGCTCCCTGTTCACTACAAGCTTTGTTTTATACTGGTATCCCTCACATTGCCCCTTACATGTAGTAGGTGTGTTTCATATATAATGGACGAAAGCAGGCAGATATTTATCATTTATCACAATTTGGTATAAATGAATAGGTTTGTCATCAGTTACTGATTTATTTATTTATTTATTTTTTGGAGACAGAGTCTCACTATGTTGCCCTGGGTAGAGTGCTGTGGCATCACAGCTCACAGCAACCTCAAACTCTTGGGCTTAAGCGATTCTCTTGCCTTAGCCTACCAAGTAGCTGGGACTATAGGCTCCCGCCACAACACCCAGCTATTTTTTTGTTGTTGCTGTCATTGTTGTTTAGCTGGACTGGGCTGAGTTTGAACCCGCCAGCCTGGGTGTATATGGCCAGCGTCCTGCCCACTGAACTATAGGTGCTGCCAGTTACTGATTTCTTAAGTAGAAAAATAACTAAAGGTGGAATGGACCTTTTAGTACCAGTTACTTGTGAGACAGAGATAGGGTTACGCCTGCAATCTTGTTCCTGAAACATTTATAATTACTCAGTTTCACATTTTGATTTCAAAAGTAAATGTTTATTTTCATCTCATATAGGATTGCTTTGGAATTTTTGGATTCAAAAGCTTTTTGTAAAAATCTCCCTCACATAAAAGGACAATCTGCTATGAAAATACGACATTTGGAAATTTTGGGCTATCATGTAATTCAGGTATGAAATACTTAATGTAATTCAGCCCCTAAAAGCCCCGAGACACTGGCTATACATATATATCCTTTTAATATGAAAGTTCTAAAATTACCTTTTTATTAAAAGGTTAAAGTATGCCTGAAAAAAAATCTCTTTATTTTGTAGAATAAGAAATATATAATTTTCTTTGTCTTTAGGAGATTTATTGTTTATATATTTATCTTACAAAGGAGAGAGACACTATGAGATGGATAGTGCTATCAGAGAAAATGACCAGTGTATGAATGTAGAAGGATATCTAGGAAAAAATTTCATTGTTGGTATTGTAGGAACAGGAGGATGAAAAGCCCTGAGACAGAAAAATGTTTTCCAGGCAATGTTGGGAAGAAGGACCCATTGGGCTTCTAAAAAAGATTCACACGCTATGCTTATATAAGCAAATTTCATAGGATTCTTACAGCTTTGCTCAGTAGTGCTTATGCATCTTCTGCAGTTTTTCTGTTGTTGCTTTAAAACTTTCTTTCAAAATGCATTACTTATTTTACAGATCCCTCATTTTGAATGGAACTCTATGGCGCTGTCGACAAAGGATGCTCGGATGGACTATCTGAGAGAATGTATATTTAGAGAAGGCAAATCATGATTGTAGTTTTTATTTAAAATGAGTTACCAGCAGTGCCTGTAGCTCAGTGGGTAGGGTGCCGACCACATACACTGAGGCTGGCAGGTTCAGGCCCGGCCTGGGCCAGCTAAACAACTACAGCAACAACAACAAAAATAGCCGGGGTGTTGTGGCGGTCACCTGTGGTCCCAGCTACTTGGGAGGCTGAGTCAGGAGAATCACTTAAGCCCAAGAGATGGAGGTTACTGTGAGCTGTGACGCCATTGCACTCTACTGAGGGTGACATAGTAAGACTCTGTCTCAAAAATAAAATAAAATGAGTTATCACATTTGGATTTATTTTAATTAAATGACCTAATGCAATTAAAAAATAATAGATACAGCGGTGATGAAGCTGGCACCGGGTCCGTGGTGTTTGTCGTGGTTTATTACTGCTGCCAGCAGAGGAGAGATCTGATCTTGGCAAAAAAAAAAAATAATAATAATAGATACAAATATTCTAAGGTGCAAACATGCCTTGTTTGCTTGAGAATTTCAAGGGATCCAATGTGGCTGGAGCAGAACAAGTGGTTAGTGAGGTGGGAGTATAATAGAAAAGGTAAGAGATAAAAGACCTCATGGCTACTCTGAGTGAGATGAGAAGCCATTGGAGGGTTTTAAGCAAGGAATGGTAAGAACTCACACATTTTAACTCCATTTCTTTGGCTACTTTGTTGAGATAAGGAATGATTGCAGTGCAGCACATGTGTCAGCAGGGAAACCTATGACTACGTCATTGCAATAATCCAGGCAAGAAATAGAGGGTGGCTTGGAGAGAATAGTGGCAGTGGCAATAATGAGAAGTGGTCAAAGTTTTGGATATATTTTGAAGGTAAAGTAAAAATAATATTTGGTCATTCACTGGACATGAGGTATGAAAGAAACAGGAGTCAAGGATAATTCTAAGCTTTTGTCCTTAAAGCAACTAAAAGGATGTCATTTCCATTAACTGAGATAGAGCAGTCTAGGGAAGAGGCAGAGAAGGGGCATGATGAGAGGAAGGTCATATGTTTGTTTTAGACATATTGAGTTTGTCAGAACTTTTAAACATAAATGAAGCTATCAAATAGGAAATTAAGAAATGTGTTTTGAGGTCAGGGGAAAGGTCCAGGAGGAGAAAGCTTGGAAATTGTCAGCAGCATTTAATGCCATGAGCTTAGATGAAATCATTTAAGATGTGATTAGAGAAGAGTATGAATGGAGGACAACATTAAGAGATTACGAGGAGGAAGAGACAGTGATACTTCCTAGAAGCCAAGTAGCAAAAGCATGAAGGAGGAAGTGAGTAGTTATGTCAGTTGCTGACAGGTCAGGTAAGGTGAGGACTAAATAAAATGTTCATTAAATTTAGCAACATGAAAATCATTAATACTTTGAAAAGAGTTCTGGTGAAGTGATGACTGTGAAAGCCTGACTGGCTGAAAGAAAATAGGAAACATGAGTTTTCTTCTAAATGGAAGCACAGAAATGAGGTGATAGCTGAGTGGACCAGTCTTGAGTTGGCCTGATCCTATACACACTGATGGAATAATGATTTTTTGGTCTCTCTCACAACACTCTTAATAAAATAGTTACTAAGGGCCTATTATGGAAGAAGGCCCACCCTTCCTCTAAATGATACATTTGTGCTTATCAAAAAAGTCATAAAGTAACTACCTGTAGGCCAGCTGGGAGGGGTAGAGATAAATGGCCACCTGAAACTTGGCTATCTTCTGATTCCATGACCATCAAAATTCACTCTGTAACAAGTAAAGTGGTAGAGGCCAGTGTGTGGCTCACGCCTGCAATCCTAACACTCTGAAAGGCTGAGGCAGGGGGATCCCTTGAGTTCACAGGTTCAAGACCAGTCTAAGCAAGAGAGAGACCCATCTTTAAAAATAGCCAGGCATTATGGGGTCCCAGCTACTTGAGAGGCTGAGGCAAGAGGATCACTTGAGCCCAAGAGTTTGAAGTTGCTGTTAGCTATGACACCACAGCACTCTACCAAGGGTGACAAAGGAAAATTCTTTCAAAAAAAAAAAAAAGTTGGTAGCCAAAGTACCTTTAATCATAAGGACAGCTTTAAAATATGTGTCCTGGCAGCGCCTGTAACTCAGTAGTTAGGGTGCCAGCCACATAGACCAAGGCTGGCAGGTTCAAACACAGCCCCGGCTAGCTAAATAACAATGACAACTGCAACAAAAAATAGCTGGGAGTTGTGGCAGGCACCTGTAGTCCCAGCTACTTGGGAGGCTGAGGCAGGAGAATCACTTGAGCCCAAAAGTTTGAGGTTGCTGTGAGCTGTGACGCCACAGGACTCTACCCAGGAGAACAGCTTGAGACTGTCTCAAAAAAAAAAAAAATGTGTCCCACATTGATGTTTGGCTTAGGTTAGTTCAAGTTCATGTTTAAAATATTAAAAAATTAGCTGAGTTTGGTGGTATGCACCTGTAATACTGGCTACTTAGGAGGCTGAAGTGAGGATCGCACAGCTTAGGAGTTTGAGGCTGCAGTGAGCTATGATCAACAGAGTGAGATCCTGTCCCTAAAAACAATTTTTTAAAAATTGGTGACCCATGTAGAGTTGAGTGTGATGGTGTAGACAGACTGAGGAGTCAACTTACTATATATGTGAGGAAGAAACAAAGAATGTAAGGCCTCTTGTCCCAGAAAGTAGAATAACGTAGTTACCTTTCTTGCTCTCAGAAATTTAACAAATACATAGACATTTCATAGAAAATATATCCAAAGCTTAAACCAATGAGTACATACCCTCCCCCATCACTCCCTGCCTCCAGTTTCTGCTCGAGCAATGTAAAGAATTCATCCATTTCCTAAAGGTCCCCTTCCAGCCTCTTGCCACAAATGCTGTAGTTAATGGCTTGAACACTGTGATTTACTTGATCTTAAATTTAATTTTTTAAAAATTTGATTTGGAAACCACAAATAATATGCCAGTGTCGCAAAAAGGATGGAGAAAAGAGAAAGGCCATTTGCATTTGACTACTTTTACTTAGAGACTTTTCCTCTTCAAATGAGACTGACCCATTTATTAAACTCCTTAAATAGCATTTCCGAAGTCATCTTATGGCAGGTAATCTTTAATATAATGCACAAGAGTCTTGTCATATCTTAGAGCAGGAGGAAAGGCTTTTGACATATGAAATGTTTTTCAAAATGTAGATGTACACATTTTATTCTCCAGTTCCATTTGTAATAGAAAATGAGTGTGAAGTTACCCTATTAATATAAAATCAAAAGATTAGTAAACTCAAATTTAGGAACCTTCCTTATAATCTAATGAGTGAGACATAAGCAGAAGTGATTTGTTCAACTGGATACTTAATTTCTTATTAGAAAATGGTTTTAAGCTCTAATCATTATATTGAAGATTTAATGACTTTGAGGTTTTGATAGCTACATCTCACCTTTTAAGATAACTTCTTCCTGAATAATTTTTACATGAATCTCTGTACAAGCTTTTAAAAAAACAGAATAAATTAAAGCCCTATTAACCAAACAAATCACCTCCCAATCTATTATGTTTTGTCACCTTATTTATAGTTTAGACAGTTTGAAGAGATTTAAACGCGTTGCTAGGCAACTAGCTCCTGAAGCGTAACGTATTTCTTTCAACATCCCAGCCCATTCTTTTTTATCATCTTCATACCTGTCGGAGGAAAAAAAGTAATCAATAAGCAACTTTAGTTCTATAAGTCTCCCTGTGTTCAGTGTATAAACATGGATCTCTGAAAAACCCTAGGCCAGGTGCAGTGGCTCACACCTATATTCCTAGCATGCTGGGAGGCTGAAGCGGGAAGATTGCTTGAGCCAAGGAGTTTGAAACCAGCCTGAGCAAAGTGAGACCCCCGTCTCTACGAAAAATAGAAAAATTAGCTGGGCATTGTGGTGAGCACCTATAGTCCTGGCTACTCTGGAGGCTGAGGCAGGAGGAGTTTGAAGTTGCTGTGAGGTAGGCTGATGCCACAGCACTGTAGCCTGGGCAACACAGTGACACTGCCTCAAAAAGAAAAAAAACAAAGCAAAGCAAAGAAAAAAAACCCTAGTGGCTCTTACTCAGAGGATGCATCTGCTTGGTTGAATAACTCTTGAATTCCTTCCAGATACACATTCTGTGAATGAGCATGTACCTGAAGCCATGGTATTTAATCTGGATGCCCAGCCAGGTCAGCCTTCTCTGGGCATCAAAGATTATTCAGAGAAGAGTAGTAGATACCTAAGCAATTAATCATTCATCTTTAGACTAATGAAAATGGCTGGTCTGAGTTAGGGTGAATAGAGTCTTCCTTAAAGAATAGGAACTGGGAAGACCGGGGACTGTGCTTAGCACTAGTTTATAGAACTACTAAATTCCTAATTAAGCACAGCACCTGATACATAGTGGTCACTTCATAACAATGTGTTGCCCTCCCCTTTATTGTTTTGTTTGAGGACTGCTCTTAGGCTTTGCACTAGACTTCAGGTGAAAAGTCATCTTCATCTCTGAATATTCAAGGTTATAAAGACAACTTGGCTCAGCACCTGTAGTTCAGTGGCTAGGGTGCCAGCTACATGCACTGGGGCTGG